TGCTATTTACCCTTTAATTAATACTCTTTGAATTTTGTTTTTCTTAGGTGGTGTTTGCAAATGATTATTTAAAAGTAGAAGTTAGTGATTGTGAGTTAAGTCAGTTTTAAGTGCTTATTTCTAAAAGTTTGGGGTGTTTGCAAATATTCCGGAAAATGAACTTAAATAGAAAAAATATGGTTATGGGTGCTTTTAAAAAAATAGCTTAAAGCAGATTATTTTAAGAGAAGCAAAAGTAAAAATTGATTTTGCAAACAACTGAAAACAGATTATGAGCAAAACAAAGCTCATAATCACTTTCAAAAAACTTTTGCAAACACCACTTTAGTTTAAAATTCAGTATAAAAAATATATTCGATTAACATTGAAATTGGACGATTTTTCACTGACTTCTGACTACTAATTTTTAGTTAAGCCCAATTAATTACTTAATATAAGGAGCCCAAATGTTTAATTATACAAATTATCCTAGTCAATTAAATTAAAGACCCAAAATAAGAAAAACAAATATTCTTAATATAGCAAGCTGTCCGGTCCAAGCCGATAAGCCGATTGCAGCCAGGCACTAGAGGTAATTATGACGGTGGCTCATTAACGGCAAGAACTGTCCGTTACCGTTAACCTGCTACGGTGAGTTATACAAACAGTACATTGTATTTGTTCTTCCGCTTTCTGTAGTTCCAGATGTGGGCTCCACACAATTACTTGCCCCCCTTATCATTAAATTTAGGGTAAATTACAATCACCCCTGAGGTATGGTCAAATTACAGAAACCTCGCTCTTGTTTGGATAATTACAACCACACCCCTTAACTGTAAATTTTTCTACATGTCCACCCTTGCGGTTTCAAATTTGGTGGAATTTTCGAGATTATATAGATTATTATTACTTTTGTAACTGTTTTATCCTATTCGAACTCCACATTTTGAAGCAAGATGATCATAATATGTGTTTTTAAGATTGTATATATCAGATTGTGGTGCATCAGAAACTGTATTTTTACATAAAACGAGTACAAACTAGAGCAAATTTCACGAAATCTAGATGATTATGTTGAATTTGACACCATAAGAGTGGAGGTGCAACAAAAAATCATAGTCGAGTGGGTAGATGTAATTATCCAAACAATAGGGGTCTTTTTGTAAATTGACCATACCTCAGGGGTGGTTGTAATTTACCCTTAAATTTATTAATTATTGAAAATCTATTTTTATTTTATTTTTGGGTAAATTACAACCTCCAAAAACCTTAATTTTGATAGATTACGTTTACTCCCCTGCAATTTGTAAATTTCTTAAATCCACCCCCTAAAAAAGGGTGTTCATGTTAGAAATTTACAAACTATAGGGGGTGGCTGCAATTTTGAGAAAAACGAGGTTTTTTTTCTTAAATATGTCTTACCTTAGGGGTTTGGTTGTAATTTACCCTATTATTTTTCTTTCCAAAATATAATTAAAATTTAATGAAAAATGGGAGGGGTATATGTGGAATTAAAACACTAAAAAATGATGATATAAGCATGTATGTGAAAAGAGGAATTGATGACATGGGCATGAGGTCACGTGCCGGAGATGGTGCCAAATTAGCAATGGGGGCCATTTTTCTGTCAGTGGGGGGAAACAGAAACAGCGTTGAAACAGCAATTGCATGTTCTGTGTGTGTGTGTGTGTGTGTGTGTGTGTGTGTGATGGTCAAAGTCAAATACCTTTTCTGTCCTTTTTGTCTTTGATAATAATTTTATGTACGAGGGTTTTTTTATTTTTAATTTAATTCAATTCTAATGTTCTTTTTATTTAATTTTGTTGAATTATTTTGTAATAAAATGTGAACCATGTAATAAGATGAACCCTAGAAAATGAATAAGCACTAAAGCTTAAGTTGCCTTGAGATTTTTCTTTTCATGGCACTATATATTGTTAGTGGGTTTTTTACTGTTAAAAATAGTTTTGAGGACTATATATAGTATATACAGAAGATGTGACACCTCTCACTAATTAAAAAAACCATAGTATAGTCAAAATCTAATGAAATTAAAATAGGTTTTCTTTGATACACTCACCAAATCATTCTTCCATATGCCCTTATACTATGTAGAACTAGGGGTAGAGCGGTTTATTTTGATGCTACACTCGGTGAAATATACCAGACATTATTAACCGTTGATCTGCACATAATCACTTACATACCCGTGTGTATGTACTTAGTATGTGCTTGGTGGGAAGTTATTTCACCACATCAACGGTTAGTAATCACCCAGTGTATTTCACAAGGTGTAACATCTTAATAATCGGGTCGAACCAATTTTCGACGTTTGCAATTCGATTTAAAAAAAAATAAAAAATTGGAATACTATTGTCAATCTTGATTCATGAAATTTCGATGATGATTATTATTATTATTATTATTATTATTATTATTATTATTATTATTATTATTTTCCGAAAGCTTTTGCAACTATAGGCTTCATTCATGGCCATGCAAACCATATTTTTAAAATAATTTTATCTTATTGGGCTTGTGGAAATGGGATTCAATTTTTGGGCCGCCTAAAAAATAATCGCATGTGTTAATTGCTTAAAATTACCAAAAAAAAAAATGCAATTTTTAATTTTCTTTTCCGTTTGTTTTTCTTGGACAAAGATACTCATAATTAATAATGAAAATGTTAAGGGAGTGGCAAATAAATTATACAATTAATTAGCAATTTACACTTTTAATATTTTAAAAAATATTAATAAATGTAAGAAATTGATATCGAACCCTACACCAATCACTCAAATGCAAGATATGCATCATACCACTTGAGCTACAACCAAATATTTTGACATTATCACGTTTAACATTAATTAATTAACACATATCCAACAAAGAAAAGGTCTACATATCACATATGTTAATTAGGGTTTACAACTTGCATGAAAAAAAAAAAAGAAAAAAAAAAATATTACGTAGTAAGAAGTGCATGGCCCTTGATAGATGACGTGTCACAACAGAAGGTTTGCTGAACTTCAAGCGCGAGTTCCTCCACGCTCACTTGGCACTCCAGCCCTATCTGTCATTTTTCATTTTTCCCTTTATTATACAATATATATATACATATATATATATATATATATATATATATATATATATATATATATATATATATATATATATATATATATATATATATATATATA